TCTCTGACTTATGGCAACCCTATGAAGGAGCAGTCTCCAAAATGTCCTGTCTTAATGTTCAACTGCAGTCCTGCTTTGGCACTTCCTTTTTTCACTTTTGCTAACAGTTGTTTGAAGTCATTGCAGCTTTCTGCCAGTAAAATGGTGTCATCTGCATATCTTGAATGTTTCTTCTGCCAGTTTTTACTCCTCCTCCATCTGAATCTAGTCTAGCTATCTGAACAGATAAGGGGATAAAATGCACCCTTGTCTGACACCTTTGCCTATAGAAACTTATAGGCAAAGGTCTTTCAGAGCAATCAATGTTTCTACAGTCAAAGGCTTTGCTGTAGTCTATAAAGCATAGGCTGATATTCCGAAGCATCTAGCAATTTCTTAAAAGGCCTTGAGATGCTGACACTACTTGTCTTGAATAAATGGACCTTAAAGCTGTGAGGTTCTCTTATTTTCTCACTAGCAGAACTGGCCTCAAGCCCTTCTCAAGGCTGCCCTAGTGGCACTGTGAGCTGGACCACAACGTCCTGTTTGCTTGCCTGCTCCAACTACAACATAGTTTCTTCCCCTTCTGAAGATGACTGATCAAGGTGAAGCATACCACAAGCAAACATAGGGTTTTTTTGTTACACATGATAGTATGTGTACCACTATGTATAAATTATCTCAAATTTACAGTTGTTTTATTAATGGGACATATCCAAATATCATTAATAGCCCTGCTCAGTTCTTGCAAACTCTAGTCTGTAGCTTTAATTTATTGATTCTCTTGATCTCAAATCCGGTCGTTTCCTGCTGCTTTCAAGTTTTTCTAGCATTATTATCTTTTTCAGCAGGTTTTGTCTTCTCATAATACATAGTACAGTACAGCAGCCCGAGTTTAATTATTTTTGCTTCTAGAGACTTTAGTCAAATCAAAAAGTTCTCAGGTCAAATCTGCATTTCCCATAGGAATGCATTGAGAACCATTTGATCCGTATCTGCTCTTTTCCATCCATAGAAACGAATGGGAAGCTGCTATTCTGCCTTCGACCACTAGAGGGGGATATTTTGTTTCTTTTTTCTTAGGTCAAGAAAGGTTCGGGGAAGGCAGGGAAAATACCAGGCAGTCTGAAGACTGTCTCCCAATCCACTCTCTAAACGCTGGGAGGAGTGAGGAAGCAGACAGGCACCCTATTCACTGGCCAACAGTTAACTGAAAGTTCAAATTTTGCACTTTCCCTGCCTCCCACGTGGTTTTTTTTTTCAGTTCTTAATTCAAATCTAAGTATGTAAGTCAAGTCAATATTTTCCTATGAGAGTGGTTCTTAAGTCAAAATGTTCTTAACTCAAGTAGTTCTTAAGTCAAGACCCCACTGTAATACATAGTACAGTACAGCAGCCTGAGTTTAATTATTTTTGCTTCTAGAGACTTTAGACTTAATTTGATCTAGGACTCACTACAGTAGTTTGTCTTTCCGGATGTTAATGATATTTACATAGCTCTCCCCTGGCATGGTATTTCTCTAGAAACACATTGTTACACTTATCAACATGAGAAGAGTGATACTATCACTTACCTCAATCTGGACACTAGTGTTGATGCAGCCTACTATAGCACTGGATTTTTTTTACCCCTGCTATGTCACAATGTTGACTCATATTTAGCTACTGATCTACTAAGACAACTAGATCCTTATCACAAGTGCTCTTGCAAAACCAGCTATCTCCTACCTTTTGTTTAAAGGTTTAATTTTTTCTGCCTAAATGGAGTACTTTACTTTTTTTTCTTATTAAAACTCTTTTTGTTTCTTTTTGTTCAGTCCTCCAACCTATCAATGTCCTCTTGAATTCTGATTTTTGTCTTCTGATGTATCCAACTTTTATGTCATCTGCAGTTTTGATAAGAATCCTGTCCAAGCTCTTGTGCAAGTAATTTTAAAAGATATTGATCAACACAGGGCCTGAAACTGAATCCTGTAATATATCACTTACTACTTTTCTCCAGGGTGACAAGGAAATATTGATGAGCATTCATTGGGTACAGCTTGTCTACCACCATCTAAAAGTAGAATTTTCTACGTATTTCACATATAATCAGTTTAGCCACAGTCACTTAATGGTCCACTGCTTCTAGATAGGGAATCAGCATCTTATTTTATGAGTGTCTTAACAGAGATTCCTTTAATCCAGTGGGAGAAATGTGTATGTTAGGGTTTGATTGTTTTGTTTTGCTTTTCACATGGTTATGGGCCTTTTTTATATCAGCTAACGCAAAACATTACTTGAAATTTGAACTGCTGAAATGTATTGGAACTGCATATTTTGTAATTTTGGTCACTGTGAAATATATCTTCTAACACAGATCACTTGCAGTACAGGGCCTCTTGTGCTGAATTGATTTTATAACCACAAGTGTGGAAAAACAGGCCTTGCAGTGGTTAAATATGTCCTGTTTACCCTTGTTTGGGAGTGAACAGGACATATTTAACCAAAACATATCTGAAGTTGTTTACTGAAAAGTGCCTTTGGCAACTGAATCAGATTTGAGTTCAAAACATTCAAAATAGATGCAGTACTTGCACCATAGATGATGCAATTTGCCATGTACTATGAAAGCCATAAGTATGATTGTTTCTTTCTTGTGATGTGAATAAATTATAATGTTAACGCTTTTTCTCAGCTACAGTCACCTCTCTTGAAATTCCGATATGACCTCATGCAGTAGTATGCATCACTGGTTGGGAATCACTGAATTAAAAAGTTTCCTTCATTAAATTAAAGCTGAGAATCTAAAGATTTGGATTTATTATAAGAGGGGAAAGCCCACTCCCTCTGTCACCCTTGGAACTTATGTGCCACCAAATATCAGTAGCTAGTGAATAAAGGAGAGTGTGCACAGCTTTCCTGGAGATGTCCGGTTTGCCTCTGTGGGAAGCCAAACTCTGAATTACCTTTACAGTAAGTATAGATGTAGCTTCTTGGGTTAACAGGCTGGGCTGCTCCATGAGCCTCAAGCATAATGAGCAACAGCTTTGAAAATCAGGTTCAAATCAGAGACAACTGCAGAGATGACGTTTGTTATTATGGGCCCAATCAAAAAAAAATCATCTGCTCAAGTTAAAGGGCACTTAAAATTAAGCATACGTATTTTTCTTTGTCACAAGTTAATGAACATGTATCTGCTACAGAAAAAGGGGACGTGGTGGCGCTGTGGGCTAAACCGCAGAAGCCTGTGCTGCAGGGTCAGAAGATCCGGCAGTCGTAAGATCGAATCCACGCACCTCTGTGGGAAGCCAAACTCTGAATTACCTTTACAGTAAGTATAGATGTAGCTTCTTGGGTTAACAGGCTGGGCTGCTCCATGAGCCTCAAGCATAATGAGCAACAGCTTTGAAAATCAGGTTCAAATCAGAGACAACTGCAGAGATGACGTTTGTTATTATGGGCCCAATCCAAAAAAAATCATCTGCTCAAGCTAAAGGGCACTTAAAATTAAGCATACATATTTTTCTTTGTCACAAGTTAATGAAAATGTATCTGCTACAGAAAATTTTCTTTATGAAAACTTAACAGTCTCATCCTCCACCATCTTAGAATTAATGCCCACCACCATATTACCTCCCAGTTTGAAAAGGAAAGAATTAGATACTGAAAAAATTACTAGAATTTCATGACAACCAAAATCAGCTGCAGCCACTTCATTGCATGTACTAGAGTGCCTCTTGGGTCTTCCAAAATTAGTATTTACAAAGGCGTACATTTTTCATTTCAGGCAGGGCTTGTGAGCTGTGGTAATAGGAGCTAGTGCTTTTGAGACTGTAGATTTCCTTTCCCCGCTCACCAAACTCTAGAGATCTGCCCAACACAGGATAATCTTTTCATCTGTGATGCCTTTTTCTTCTTCTTATGAATCCCACTATCACCTGGGGTTATGCAGGAGATAATAAGCAAAATGTGGATCTGTTTGCTCCTTTTGGGAGTGATACGAGAACGGGTATAGACGTTACCTCACGTGGCATTAAGTCATCTGGCATAGATGTTAAAATATAAAGTTAAGAGTGGCTAGGCTTCTTCCCCCTTGCTGTTCTCTGCAGTGTGATTCCTCCTGTGTTACTGATTTATTCTTTCCCTTCTCTGCTCCTGGAGGTCATCTGAGGTTAAAAAAAATTCTCCCCATAGTGGTAGAGTACATATTAACCAGCTTTGGTTAATGCACGAACGCACCTCTACATAACAAAAAAACAGCCAGAACGGATTAATTGGTTTTCAGTCCATTCCTATGGGAAATTTTGCTTCAACTTAAGAACGTTTCAACTTAAGAACACCATTCCAAAACGGATTAAGTTCTTAAGTAAAGGTTCCACTGTAGTTTCTATGGATGGAAAAGAGCAGATACGGATTAAATGGTTTTCAATGCATTCCGATGGGAAATGCAGATTCAACATAAGAACTTTTCAACTTGAGAACCACCTTCCAATACGGATTAAGTTCTCAAGTAGAGACCCCACTGTATAGACATTAACTCATGTGGCATTAAGTCATCTGGCATAGATGTTAAAATACTGTATAAATTTAAGAGTGGCTAGGCTTCTTCCCCCTTGCTGCTCTCTGTAGTGTGATTCCTCCTGTGTTACTGATTTATTCTTTCCCTTCTCCGCTCCTGGGAGCCTCTGTCCAAGGGCGTCTAAAAAAATCTGATCAACAATCCACCCACATCCATCTGGCTTTCATGCCTCGGCTGTGACTTCCAGGGTGCGCTTTCAAGCCCTGGACCTTTTCACAGGCACGAAAGCACGATGATGGGCGCAACTCAGGATCCGCTCGGCGCGCCTAAATCCCTTTAGATCCGCGAGGTTCGGCGGGCCTGATTCTGCACAGGCAAAGGGCTCCACACCTCCCACGTGTTTAGGTATGGCAAGAGGGGTGGAGTGGGGTGGGCCCTTTCTCCTATGAGTCACGCAGCGAAAGGGATGCCTCTGTGCTTGGAGGCGACGGATCCCTCCCTCACACCGCTCTCTCCCCCCCACTCCACCCCTTGGCCCGAGGAAAGCCACCCCCATTGCGAAGAGAAGGCTGGAGAAAAGACACCGAAGGCCCGCCTAAAAGGCTGCTGAATGGCCGGGGCGGCTGCCGCTCAGCCCAGGTCCTTCGCCGCCGCCTGATCCCACGGCCCCCGGGGATGGTGCTGCGCCCGGCGGGGGGGGGGCGCGAAGGAAAGGACGTGAGAGTCGCGGAGGCGGTCGCGGCGCTGCCTCTCGAGGGGGGGGGAACCTGAGTGAGGCGCTCCGGGAGAAGGAGGCGCCCACCCACCCCCCTTCAGTGGGGAAGTAAGGGAAGAGTCGAAGATACCCCTCCCCAGGTTTGGCTTAACTTTTTTTTCGCGCCCCTCCTTAACTTAAGGCAATAGAAAGTAGGAGCTGCCGCCTCGCAGCGACCGTGCTTTTTCCCTTTCCTCCCTGCCTCCCATTTATTCCCCCCCCATCCCCTTGGCCCAGTAACTTGGGGAGGGGTGGTGGTGGTGGTGTGTGTGTGAGAGAACGGGACTTTAAAAAAAAAGTTTAAAAAGAACTTTTAAAAAGTTGCCGCAATGTCGAGGCTGGATCAACAAGACTTGTCGAGGGACCGAGGGAAGAGCCTAGCGGATGCCACGGGGGTGCCTAAAGGCACGGCAAGCCTTGCTCCTGGAGGTGCCCCGGAGGGCAGAGCATGAACTGGATGGAGCCCGCAGCTCGTTTCGGGTGCCAGGATCAGGAGCGAGGAGGGTTGCGGGCGGAAAGCATCTGCGAGTGTGCCCTTTCCCTTGTATTCCCCCTTTCCCTTCGCAGCTACTCTTAAGCAACTAGGATTTGGGAGAAGAGGTTCCAGTGCTTCACTTTTGTTGGCTTGCTTAAACTTTAAAGGCTCCACTCGGTGGAAAGGTGGGTGTGTGAGATGAAACAGGGTTGCCCCGCACCCCAGGTTACAAGGGTAAGCATGGCTTCAGGTTTTACAGGACACCCAGAGCTGGATTTAAGGAGACCAGATGGAGAGCTAGGGAATAGGTGCTGAACACCTTGAAGCCACACTGCCTTTGGCAACTGAATCAGATTTGAGTTCAAAGCATTCAAAATAGATGCTTGCATCATCTATGGTGCACCATCATCCCATGTTTCTGCCATATAGAAGTAGACTCTGTTACAGAAGCATGGGACTAGTCGTACTGAGGGAAAGGTATTCTGCACATGCTGCATTATATGTTGTTGTTGTTGTTTTCATTATCCACAGAGCTGCATCCTGCTATATAAAACAAGTTGTGAGGCAGTGGTCTGGCTCTGATTTAATCCCAGTATGGATGCTCTTCTGAGGGTTCTTATCTTTGGCATACAGAACTGTTGTTCCATTTGCCAGATGCGGAAGCAGGCCAGATATAAAAGCGTGGCATGCAGAGAGTGCAGAACATCATCTACTGCATCCTAAAAGCCTACCCCCAATAGTCTTCTTATGCTGGCCAGATTCCCAGAATTTGAAACTGTTTTAGAGCTGGGAACATGGTCCCTGATCTTTTGCCTTCTGATAAGAGAAAAGCCTTCAGCTGCAAGGAAGTTTAAAGGAGCCCAGAACAGGAAATGAAATGAATTGGGTGATGTCTCAACAGTATTGGGAAAAGACACTGCTCTCCAGCTATTCAGTAATTTGCACAAATTTATAATATAGAACTTACCGATATCTAGATGTGTCCGCAGACTCAAGTGTTGCTACTGTTAAATTATGTGTAGAAGTTAGTAGCTGACTATATTTTGTTGATGAGGAGGAAGATGCTAGGAACTCTAATACTGGTGTCCAATACATCTGCAAATGGCTGATATGGCACAGATATACAGAGAAAAACAAAATAAACCCAGTCTGCTTATCTGCTTGTTTTGGTAGTTGGTAATCACCACCTCCTTGTCTTTTCATCAATCATTTCCACATATACACCAGTTTCACTTTTAGAACAAAGGTGAGATCTGTTTATATATCACAGTAGTTAGGTTTTATAGCCCAACTTTGTTCTAGAAGTGAAACTCAAGTCAGCACTGTGGACAAATGAATAATATTTCCATCAATTGTGATGGCATTCTGTTACAGCAAACAGTAATCACCAAGTGAAGTAATGATGCATTACACTTTGCTACTCTGTCTTCAGTAGGCTTGCAGGCAGAAGAAATCTGAAACCTCTATTTCCTTTTTTTTCTTTTAATACTGAAAATGTAACTAACACTGGATTTTTTTAAAAAAGTGTTTGTTTTTAAGACAGCATATTTTCTCCATGTCAAAGGGCAATGCCCATGGATAAGTGGGAAAAGTGAGCTATTCTAATGAAAAGTACCAAAGTTCTTCTATGTTATGTTTGTTTACATTTTGTGGTGGCAAAATATTTTGGGCAAAACTCTGACCTACCTGTAGTCATTTAGTGTTTTTCCTTTGACTTCTGTAGGAATGTTTTTACTCTCTTCTATGTATAAACTTTCCTTACAGGATTACAGATAGCACCGTTCTTCTTTCAAGTTGGGTGTATCTTTATGTCCCGATCGGCTTCTTTTTCTATTATGTACTATCATGATGACATCTGTAAATATAAACACAACAAATGTTAAGAGCCCAAAAAGGAATCTGTGTGCCTGATAACTGTCATGCAAACATGCATTGAATGTAAACCTATTTATAAACAGCATTGAAGTTTCATTAATAATACAAAAATGATCATGTAGTATCTCTTTTTGTGTTATGTGCCATCAAATCACCTCAGACCCTACACAGGCAACTCTACGTAGTAATCCTGTAGTGTCAATAAGCCAGTGTGGTGTAGTGGGCCAGTATTTGGGAGACCTGGTTTGAATGTCTTTTCAGCCAAAGAAATTAGTTAGGGGTGCCAGTGGTAAAACCACCCCATAAATGTCTCCCTTTCCTTTAAAATCCTATTAGGATTGCTATAAATCAGATGCCACTTGATAGCATGTAATAACAACAAGAGTATTAACAAGTCACTGGTATAATTCTATTTGGTACAGAATCTGTTTTAAGGATGCAAATAAGCAAATGCTTTTTCTGAGTCCCACACAAGCATAAATTTAGCTTGTGTGGGACTAGGAAGAATTTCTTGCTTGTTCAGTGGGAGATGGCTATGTATGTTCTATGAAGAATTCCACCTAATTAAGAGGGACTTTTTACAGTGTTTTATTGATGTAATTGTAAATAGATAGACAGAGAACACTTTAATTCTGACAAGTGGGATAGATGTTTTAAAATCTGTTGTGTCATCAGTTTTTTGCAAATCTAGGTGCACAACGATGCGACTGTAAACAAATATATAAGGGAGTAAGCCTCATATCTGATTAAGCAAGCATATGATGTCCTTCTAGTTTATAAAAAGTGTTTACTTAAAAAAAATAAAGGCAACACAGTAGGGAAAATATGTGTATGTTCACAATGCTGAATCAGAACACTTAACAAGCCAAACTGATGAACTCATTTATTTTTCCCTTGAGGAATCGAACAAGAGACGGGAAGTCATTGACTCATAAGTAAGATCATTCACTGTGCAATTGTAAACAGCAGATATTGAGCCAGCAAATATTTCCATAGTCCTTTGCTTTCTGGAAAATGCAAAGCAAATAATTTGCTGGAATTATAACTAACAAAACCTTTGCAATAATAGAGACTAACCTCAAGCATTAGATGACTGAAATCATCTTTTTGTCTCCGTTAAATGTTAATTTTCTGGAACACAGTTTATCCTTGTTTATCAAACTGACGCATGGGACCACAATTGGTTCCATAGAACTTAAGTTTTGTCTTACATAGAACAAGAACATGCATGATTCTATTTATTAATAAATAGTAGCTCTTGATTTGGCTACAATGAGCACATTACTTAATTATATCTTTCTTGTATTACTGTAACAGGTTTTGTGTGGGACTGCCTTTGAAGATGGTTCAGAAATGTTAGCTGGTTCAGAATGCTGTAGGCAGACCGCTGGCTGGGGCTGATTATAGGAAACATAAAATTCCCCTGTTACCGCAGCTCAACTGTCTGCTGGTCTGTTTCCAGGCCCAAATCAAAGTGCTGGCTATGACCTCTGAAACCCTATATGACTTTGGTTCGAGACTATCTGAAAGACTCTATCTCCCATTATGAGCCTTCTCAGCTCTTACGATCTTCAAGCGAGGCTCTTCTGTCCGTTCCACTGCCTTCACAGGCATATCTGGTGGGAACATCAGAGAGAATCTTTCTGTGGTTGCTCCCAAGTAGTGGAATGCCCTTCCTTGGAAGATTAGATTGGTCACCTCTTTTTTTATTCTTCCAAAGAGGCTTTTAACAACTACGTGCGCAGTGAAGAGTTTTAATTTTGAGTGTTGTACATTGTATTTTTGTCTTACATACATTTTAATGTGCTTTAAGATATTTTTAAATTTTAATACTATTATACTGTATGTTTAAATGCTTTTAAGTGTTTTATTTAATTGTTTAATTTAATTGCTCAGTAATAAATTAAAATGTTTTAATTTATTGGGCAAAGTCCTGTTTTATAACTTTGCATCCAGTGCAACTCAGATCAGGTTCTGGACATGTTTGTTTATCCTATTAAAAGCTTTCTATTCCCCTACCACATTTTAGGTTCTGAGTCTCCCTTGGGCTGCCTTTTGGCCTTGGAAAGCTTTTGAGAGCCCTGGGACAGAGAGGAAGCCTTTAAAAGTTAAAAAAAAATTGTCGCTGGATTGCTGCCACCAGGATCAGGACCACTGCTTCCAATCTGGTGGCAATCTTTGATTAATAAAGGCTCCCTCTCACCTGTACCAAGGCTCCCAAAGGCTTTTCAGGACAAAAGGGAGCACAAGGGAACTTCAGAATCTAAAATGGTGAGATACGAAGAATTTTTTTAAGTGTAAGTTAAATGGTTCCAGTGCACGATCCAAGCTATTTTGGTAATTTGTGAGCCATCTTAGATCCCTTTACCAGGCAAAAGGCAGCATAAAAATGCAATGGAATATATAAATTGTTGGAGATAATAATAATCCTTAATTTTTTAATTGCAATTTATTTTTTAATACAAATAATTTTCAAATTTAATGTATTCTCAAAGGCTTTCATGGCTGGGATCCGATGGTTATTGTAGGTTTTTTGGGCTGTTTGGCCTTGTTCCGAAGGTTTTTCTTCCTAACGTTTCGCCAGTCTTTGTGGCTGGCAGCTTCAGAGGACAGAACTCTGTCTGTGTTCTGGTGTAGGATAGTTGAGTATTCAAATTTAACTCAGAAGAATACTGTAAAGTTAAAATAGGAAAGAGAAACATGATAAAGGTCTGTTAGCAAAAGTTGTTTCAATAAAATGGAAGATGAAAATGAGTTTATATTCCAGATTTGTGAGACATGCTCTTGTGGAATTTCATTTACTGTACTAGGACACGACTCGAGGTGTTCTGGTGTAGGATAGTTGAGTATTCAAATTTAACTCAGAAGAATACTGTAAAGTTAAAATAGGAAAGAGAAACATGATAAAGGTCTGTTAGCAAAAGTTGTTTCAATAAAATGGAAGATGAAAATGAGTTTATATTCCAGATTTGTGAGACATGCTCTTGTGGAATTTCATTTATTGTACTAGGACACGACTCGACTAAATGTCAAGGGGAATCTACCTGGGTTGTGTTTGTTTATTATCAAGAATAATACCCCTTTTATTGGAAGGATTTTAGCTCCATGGAGAACAGCACGAAAATTTAAAAGTTTGCTTCTTTTACTGATGCCAACCAAAACCTATGGTTTGTAAACTTTTTATAGAGAATCATACAAGTATCATACAAACAATTATTTAGTTACAACTTTTCCATTTTAAAAAAAATCATTAAAACAGCTTTCTTTGTAGACAATAGCTGGCACTAAGAATTGGAGCAGTGTGTATTAAGTACACACTGATGCAGAAATTTGGGGGGTGGAGTCTAAAAAGTTTTAAATAATGAAGGGTGGAATCCTAAAAAACTTACTGGACAACATTGAACTCCATGGAACTTGCCTATCAATATATTGCTCGGCATGATGTACAAGATCTCTCTCTCTCTCTCTCTCTCTCTGTGTATTTAAAGAAAATTATATTGAGTATTTTCTGGTTTTGTTTCTTCCCACAGTGCTAGTATGGCAGAATTATTAGAGCTGGAATGGACAATAAACTGGAAAGAAAGGTGCATAGCTCTGGAATCTCAGCTATTGAAGTTTCGTCTCCAAGCAAGCAAAATTAGAGAGCTGCTTGCAGAGAAGGTGGGTCTAAAGTAACACAAAATAATATTTATTATTATTAATATAATAATATTTATTATTTTGTTAAGGACTTAAATTAGCTTTATTATAATTAGTTTAATAAAGGCCTCTTATTGAGCTGATCTGAGCATAATGATTGCTATTCTTGTTAAATATATTGTTTAGCAGGGAAAATGCAAGTATTTTGAACAACTGTGCATTTTTATGCATATAGAAACATAGTATCTCATAGTACCGTATTGCACTAAAGAGATGCATGTGCTTCGTTGTGTATTGCTTGATCAGGAACTGGTGAACTTTCCATTATGCATTAGCATGTTATGCTATCTTCTCCCACACTGCATTACTTAAGAGGATGTACAGTTGAACACACAAGCATTTACCAGTCATGTTTAAATTCTTGTGCAGCTGTGGTTGGATTTTGTATGAATAGACCCAACAGAAGGAACTCTCTTGTAGACGAAATTACAGTGGTGCCTCGCTTAACGATGTTAATTGGTTCCAAAAAAACCATTGCTATGGGAAAACATCCTTAAGCGAAACACCATTTCCCATAGGAATGCATTGAAAATCGGTTAATCTGTTCCAATGGGAACGGATTACCGTCCTTAAGCGAAAATCCCCATAGGAAACATCGCTAAGTGAAACAATGTTTCCCCCAACGGAAAGCCATTCAAAAGCATTGAAGCCGGCGCTTTTGAATGGCTTTTCTATGTCCGTTTTTGCTCATTTTTAAGTGTCTTAAAATGTTTGAAACCTGTTTAAATGCTTGGATTCGGTAGTGCACCTTGTGAAA